AAAAGAGAGGACCCTTATTGGATAATTTCCTTTGGCCCCGAGGAGCGGCCTGGAGAACACATCTTGGCATGTGTTCTCCCTTCTAAATTTTTTCAGATTTTCTTTGTTTGTTCGTTTGCAAAATAAGTTTTTGGCAGTTGAAAAAAAAAATATATAGGTCACTTTATAGGAACTAGGCGATGGATGTTAAGAGACTTTATATTTCTCAGGGACCTGAAACCTGAATTTGGATAAAATTAAATAAAAAATACTTGTTTTTTGGTTGCTAGATTTGTGGATTTCTAGTCATTTAACAAACTGCCAGAAAGGGGGGGTGGGGGTTGGGGAGAGATCCACACAATCGTAAGAATGGAGAGCAAGTGTGGGACCCTCCCTCTGAAGGAAAGAAAGCTTTTCTTCTCATAGGATAACAAGTACTGTTGGCCTGATAAAGAGATGAAGCCATAACTCTTAGAAACTGTCAGAACCAAGTGCTGTATCTCCTTCCATCCGGTCTTAACTGATCCTCTCCGTGGTTAAAGTTACGTTACCACAAAGTGATGCTGTGTTATAATCACTTATAACAAAGGTGTTTAACCTTCATATGTGTCGCAGTTGTGCCACCCATCGCTTCTCCTTTGCTTTTCTTTGATCTCAGATGCCACAGACAAAACCCCGTGTGGCCGCAATGTGCAGCCCCACATTTGGAGCCCATACTCCAAAATACAGAGGAATTCTGTTCATATCACACATTCCCAGCCCCAACCAAAGCCTGGATTTTCACTTCTCCACATTAAAGCCAACTGTCCCTTATCGTGGAAAATGTAGTAGAAGCAGAGTAGTATAATTTTGAGGTTACATTGTGTATCATTAAGTGAAGCAAATTTGTTTAACAGCAAGAATCAGGGAGGTGACATACTTAGTTTGTAATGCACTTCCTGCCATTTTAATTCCTTTGCCACTCTAGACTTCTGGAAATACAAAGGGAGATACAGAGTTCCCAGTATGGGCCTTGAAGAGACAGAGGGACCCGAAGTCAGGGGATGGGATACCAGAGCCCCTACCTTCTCATGCTTTGGAAACCAGCTGCAGCTCTTACCCTGCTGCTGGGAGGTTAGTGGAGACTTGTGTTCCTTGACAGTAGGGTTGTTTTCACTGTCAAAGACAGAGAAGAAAGGGGGTACTAGAAGCATGCTGAAAAGAGGAGGTCCAGCAAGGTTCTGCAGGTCCACTTCAGTGACTGTGGGCCATGGTTTTCCTTTTGTTTTTTTTTGTTTGTTTGTTTGTTTGTTTGTTTGTTTTTAACTATAACGAATGTGTACCTTTCACAAGCACTTTGGTAAACTAGAGAAGAAATTCTCAGGATGTATTCAAAGCTAAGAGAGTTTTAATTTTAAAAAGAAATCTAGTCCAGATGGCTTTCCTCATCCTCCTCTCCTCTTTTTTCTCCCTTGGTGGGGGAGCTAGGCATGGGGCATGCATCATTCTGTGTTGACAAATGCGTCATGCCTATCCATAATTTTGTGACAGTTCCCCAGCACTGTCCCCCAGTGGCACCATGCTAGCCTTGGTAGTAAAAGTCCTTGGTATCTGAGGGCATCCTCAGTCTTTCTGTGCCCCTCACTTACTTTTAACCACTTTTCTCTGGAAACACTCCCACATTTGATTTGGTGTTAAAAGGTAACAGCAAAATGATGATTGTGGAGATGGATCTATTAGGTCTTGTTGGTCTCTTGGTTAAAACTGTTCTTCAAAAAAGCCACACGAACGGGCCTATCACCTTGCTATTCATTTATAATTAACACCTATTTATCAGCCCTCTTAGGTCACATTAAAAGTTGCACCTTTTGAACCAAGTAATTGTATTTACTAGGGGAAAGGTGTGGATTACAGATTAGTATTATATTATTTTAATGGATTTAAAGTAATTTATAAGTATGCTGAGTGTAAATTTTTTAAAAGACTATGTATTGTAAAAGGACGTATCCTGTGAAATATATCATTTTACTGTTTAACAGAATAATTCTATAAAAAGAATGATTTATCTCACCCACGGAACTGATTACATTCCTGATGCAATCAACAGGCACTTTGTAATTTCCTTTTGGGTTGGTTTTTTTTGGATCGGGAGGAGCAAGACATCATCTGTATAAAGTGCAGTTTGTGTCGCTCAGAATATGCACTGTATAGCTACACAAAAGCAGCTTGATGAACAGATCACTCCATGGCTCATTAAAGAACAAAGCTTCCAGAAGCAGCAATACGTGTGGTTTGTTTTCTGACCATCCTGGCTCCCACCCCAGCTCACTCCAGTCCCACTCCAAGAAACAGCAATGATTTTGGTTTGTTAAGCTGTTCTTTGTTTAAGGAAAGGACTGAGCCCCAAAGTAACAAAGTGCAGAAGCAGTAATTATTGGAACTCTGCGGAATTCAAGTGAAGGTGAGATTCAAGATAATCTTTTTCTGTAAGAGATGCTAGCCGCTTCCTGTAAAGACTTCCTTTAATCAGCCTAGAGCTAGGTGGACAGTAAGTCTACAGTTAGCATCCTCACCAAAAAGACTATGAAGAAGTAGCAACATCTGCTAGTAGGGGCCCAGGAATTCATGCCTAGGTTGTCATTTTTGTTCTGCCACTATGCTGTGTGACTTTGGGAAAGTCATGAGCCCTTTCTGGGTGTCAGTTTTCCCATCTGGAGATGAGTTCTCTTCCTCAGGTTTACTTCTCTAACTCCTACAGACTCTCAGGTCTCAGTGTAAAAGGCAGTTTACTGGAAATTTCCTCTTCCCCCTTGAACTGGGTTAGATGTCTCTTGTTCTCAACAGTGCCCAGTATGTGTGGCATCAAAAAACTGAGGGGCGCCTGGGTGACTTGGTTGAGCATCTGCCTCTGGCTCAGGTCATGATCCCAGGGTCCTGGGATGGAGGCCCATGGCTGGCTCTCAGGAGCCTCCTTCTTCCTCTCCCTCTGTGTGCCACTCCCCCTGCTTGTGCTCTCTCTCTCTCTCTCTCTCTCTCTGTCAATAAATAAACCAACTGTTTGATGTAAGCTTCCCAAGGCAAGAAATGTACTTATCTTCCTGACTTAGATCCCCAGCACCTAATAAAAGGTGCCCTTGCTTAAATATTGGACGAGCAGGTTGAATGAGATCAGGGGTTCCCAAATGCCAAACTAGGTCTAAGGTGAAATGGAAATTTATTCAGTTTTTAAAATCCTGAGATCATTTTCCCATTTCTTTTTGCATTGTTTACATTTTTCCATCAAATTTACATCAAAATGAAAAGGATAGTGAATTGTTTCTTAAAGTTTCTTTAATTGGCCAAGTGAAACCTAGAAATGCCATTTTGAAAATGTACCCCTGTGGTAACTAAATCTACAACAAACCTTCCCAATGCTTCTTGCCATCTTTGGGTCTTTCTCTGCCTTTCCTACCATCAAATAGTCCCTTAGGGTGGAAGAGGAAAACTGTCTCACAAATCTGAAAACTGCAGTTGAAAAGAAAGGCCCAGATAGGTCCACAGAGATAGTCTCTGTGTGCTTCATAACCAAAGACATTTCTGGCGTTGAGGGCAAAAAAGCTTTCACAGTATCCCCTCTCCTAGCAACGGCCCTAAATGCAATGAAAGCTGTTTCCCATTCGAATTTCATTGGGGCCAATTTACAGCAAAATGTTGAATAAATCCTGAGCTCAACTGAGCTCTGTATTGTATTAGGAAAACAAGAGCCACTCAGTGTATTTCAGGTGAGAGGGACAAAATACAGGAATTAGGGGTTTAATAATACACACTGGAAGAACTGAAGAAACAAAGGTCACAGAATCTCCCACAGAAAAGGTCAAGAAAGCCAACACAGATCTCAGCCAAAAGATCCAAAGTTAAGAGCTTGCCTGGAAGCTACTGCAATTCAAAAGGCATCCTGAAATCACCTTCCCACACAGGCTGCAACTGCCTCCAGAGGTTTACCTTCCAAGGCTCATGTGAGTGCCTGCCTGCCTTCTATTAGCTAGCCATAGGGGGAAGAGGATCCTGGGAAATGTAGTTCCTGGCATCTCTGCAGTGAGGACCTACCTTAGAAGGGGGTAGTATTGATGCCAGGATGACAGCAGCTAATCCAGTTTATATATAATCTCCTCTATTTCTCCAAGACTTCCTCCTGGAGATCCCAAACAATCTCTCCCAGTGTAGAATTGCTGTGCTCACACATCCCAGACACCAGCCCATGAACTCAACAGGCCACCTCTGCACAGCTATGTTCTGAGATGTGTGACTGTAGAGTAGATGTCCAGGGCCTATCTGGTCCTATTTCAGCCTTCTTTCTTGCTACAGTGCCTTTGTGCAGGCTTTCTATATGCAGGCCTTTAAACCTTATGGATGAAACTTTTGATAGGGAACTGGATAGTATAATGGCATTATAGACATTAGATGGCTTGAATAACAGGCAAGTCTAGTGTTTTTAGAAGATCAAGAATATGGGGCATCTGGGTGGCACAGTCAATTGGGGATCCGACTCTTGATTTTGGCTCCAGTCATGGTCTCAGGGTTGTGGGATTGAGCCCTGCATCAGACTCTGCACTGGGTGTGGAGCCTGCTTAGGACTCTCTCTCTCCCTCTTCCTCTACCCCTCATCCCCGCTCTATATATATCCATATATAAAGAAGATCAAGAATAGTTTAAGTGATCAAGTGGAAAGGGCTCAAGCTGGGCAATACTTGCCATACTCTTTCCTTTTTGGGCACCAGCCTAGCTATTGTCATTTCCAGAGCAGAGTGTCCTGAACCACCTCCTTCCATCAAGGCAGGATATCTCTGTGAGCTGGGAGAATTCATACACAGGCCAAAGAGCAAGAAACCCCTAGGATTTCACAGATTTCTCACATGACCTCCTCTTGACTTCAGGCATTTCTTCTTGGAGGACAGGAAATGCAACAGAATCGTTCAGTCATTCCAGGGGTGGGGAGCTCTGGGCGGTGAGGGCAGTGCCAGAGTTAAGTGGAGTTAAGTAGAGTTGCACCAGGGTTTAAGTTCTCTCCAAGCCTCAGTTTTTTCATTTATCACTGGGGATGACTGGTCCCTGTCCCAGAGCTAATTTGAGGATTGAATATCAATGCCCATTCAGCACTCAGTTCACTGCCTGGTGTATCATCAAGTGGCGCATACAAGTTCCCTTTTTGCATTACTATCATTTCCTAGGTCTTTTGGGTCTGTCTTTGCAAAGGAGGAGGTTTTTCTGAGCATCTCTCCATAAGGAATTAAGAAGTGAGAGAGACTCCCCTTCTAAAAAAATTGCCTGTAGCTGCCTGGCATCAAGTCAGATGTGCTCACCTTTGTTTATGGAGGGGTGAGGAAGGACAGGAAGAGAAACACCGACAGCGCCTGTGGAGTGATGGGACCCCATCTGGAGAGAGGCTGGGTTTTGACTCTGGTGGGAGATTTTGAAGCTGGGCTTGAATGTGTTGCCCCTGGACTCTTGCCGTGGTATGGAAACCAGATGGAACACAAGAGCTTGTGCTCATTACTTCAGTGTTCTCCAATGGAGAGCCTTTAACACATTTGTTTTCTTGGTTTTATTTTTTTTTTCCACTTTTTTATTGAGATTTAACATAATACAGTAAAGTGCACAAATCTTAAGTGTGCGGCTCAATTAATTTTTATGAATGAGAGAATTTGTGAAACCACCACCTAGGTCAACATCAAGAGTATTTCTAGTCACCAGAGGGCTCCTCTGGGCCCTTTCCAACCACCCCACCTCCCTACCCCAGGGGTAAACACTATTCCAGCTTCCGCCACCACCGGTTAGTCTTGCCTGCTCATGAACTTTGTATAAGCAGAAGCTGTGCCTGGCAAAGTTCTTTCGTTCTACTTTTATGTCTGCGAAATTCATCCATGTTGTCACATGTGTTGGTAGTTGATTCTTCTTGATTGCTGTTTTCCATTAAATGAATATACCATAATTTATTAATTCATCCTACTGCCGATGTACAGTCAGGGGCTATTATGAATAAAGCTGCTGTGATTATTTTCATAATATCTTTTGGTGGATATTTCTGCTTGGGACACATACCTACAGGTGGGATTGCTGGGTCACAGGGCAGGCAAGTGAGTGCCTTCAGTAGGCTGTTTCCTAAAGTAGTTGGACCCATTTACTTCCTCCTCCCTCAGTTTTTGAACATATCACAAAGGAGCTTCTCCATTGGAGTATTCCCTATGGTCTTGCGGAAAAAGAGGAGCTCAACTCGTTCGGAAGTGATAAACCTCAAAGATGGGAGAAGCAGGAGCAACTTCCCAAACCTGAACAGGAGAGAGGACACCATTAGTTTTATTACCAGCTTCTGAGCATGAGTCATGGGGGCACTGGGATAAAAATAGTGAATAAATATTGTTTATTATGTGCAAAGATTGTAAAATGAGAAGTTATTTATATTAATGCTACATAGAATGTGTTAATCATATATATGATTATTATGATAATTATGATTAATTCTATGTATATTTGAATAAGAATATAAATGCCCCTCTGTAAGTCCAGTAGGATGATAGAGTAGCCATTAGTGAAAGTGTTCTGAAGTGGAAGCATAATTTTTGTGGGCAAAAGAGATAGTCATCCTAAGAAAAGCAACTGCAGTTTTAAATAAGAACCATTAAAAAAAAATTTTTTTTTAAAGGGCTCGGTCAGTTAAGCATCTGACTCTTGATCTCAGCTCAGGTCTTAATCTCAAGGTCGTGAGTTCAAGCCCCACCTTGCACTCCACGCTGGGTGTGCAGCCTACTGAATGAATGAATGAATGAACAAATCAATCAATCCATCAATCAATCAAACAAACCATCTGCCAAGGCAAGGATCCCCAGTGCAGAGAAGGTAGATGGTGAAGCCCCAAAAGACAGATGGGAGGATCAACAGAGGTCACTGCCCAACATCAAGGAGGCCACTTCAAAGTGCGGCAGCTCCACGCTCAACTCCCACCGTGGAGGTCTGTGGGAGGCCTTCTGCCATCTCCCAGTTATCTGCAGGACTTATTTGTTTCAACCCAAGGGCTTTCTTTCTCTTGCAAGTGCCAAGTGGGTGGGACAGAGAAGTTGTGCGTCTTATGCTTGTTCCTTCCTCTCTCGTTTTTCTGAGCTAGGGAGTTTCAGGAAGGAGTAACTAGAAAGTCAAATAGAGAAATTGTTTTTCAAAGTGCAGGTATTCGTCCCCTAGTGGATCTGAAATTAAACTTAGTGGGTCACCACCAGCCACGCTCTCAGCCTCTCAGGAGCTACTGCCCCCAAACCCAGCCACAGCCGGGCTCTCATCCACGCATGTGGCTTAGCCAGGTGCATCCCTATGGGATGTTCCCCGGAGCTCCAACAAACCTGGTCATGGTCCCTCAAAACTACCTCTTCCTCTGACTTTCCTTTTTATTTCTTGACTCCCGCTTCTCCCAAACAGCACCTCTTCTCTTGCTCCTTACATCCATCCACGTGCCAAGTCGGATGCATTCTGACTTCTGGAGGCCTCTGCAACTGTCCTCTCCCTACAGCCACTCCCAGAGAGCAGGACTCCAGGGACTCCCCTGGAGGATGGCAGTGCATGCTTCTCTCCCCGGTCATGTACTCTGGACTCACTCTAGCTCTGTGTACAACGCCCTCCTGCTCAAAAGCCTGCAGTGGCTCCCCTCTGCCTACCAAATCCCATATGGCCTTTGGCCGGCATTTGAAGTCCTGGACTGGCTGGCCCCAGAACGCTATTCTAGCTTAATCGCCTACCTTCCTCTGGCAGCAATCTGTTACGCCTTCCAAACCAGGCTCCTGCCCTAGCTGTCTACGTGGATGCATAGCGAGAGATAGAGGTACCCGAACCCTCACTATCTGATGGGGGTGGTTCTCATCTGTAGTGGGGCCACTGTGCTGGGCATCCTGGGAAGGCAACAACTTTGTCTTCTGCTCATTTCTGTCCCCACCCCTGGGACCTGGCACACAGGAGATGATGGATTTGTGCTGGTTGAATCAGACCTTTGGGCCATCTAATGAGTGACATCAAGGATGGTGTCAAAGAGGTGGGGGGAGGGGGAGGGTAAAGAGGTGAAGGGACAGATGGGCAGGGAGGCAGGTGCTCAGGTCACCTCACAGGCTGGCTGGGGTGGTGCGCCTTGCTGTGCTGGCTCAGCATCACTTGGGACTGGTCCTGCAAGGCCTCCACGTGCTCAGGATCCTTCAGGCCCCGAGTTTCTGGAGAGAAGCATCGGCAGTGAGCTCTTCTCCCAGACCACCCTGCCCGTCCCTGGCCACAGTCAGCCAGGGCCCTCAGGCGGAGTGAGCCCAGCCCTGCACCTCGCTCCTCCTGCTCCCCAGGGAGGAAGCCTGCACACCCCTGGGTCTATGTGGGGTGGTGGAGGCAGAGGGAGAGGCAGAAGGAAATCACTGGAATTCCCATTCTTTAACCCCAACCACACTTCCGTAAGGCTTGGGCGAAGACTCAGCCACCTGGTTTGAAGAGGACCAGGGCCTTCATGCAGGCAAACTCTGTGGGGTCCACCGCCAACGCTCGGAACCGTGAGATTGTTTCCTGCAGGATGCGGCTCTCGGTGCTGGCCAGAGCCAACCGGCCCTGGGAGCTGCCGGCAGCAGGAGCCTCGGGTGCGGCCAGCAGTGGGCAGGTGTCCAGAGGCAGAGACCACTGTATGGCCCCGAGGAGGAAGAGTTCACTCCATGCCTCCTCCAGCAGGATCACCTGTGCTCAAAGAAGGAGCGAGCATGATGGTGGAGATCCAACATCTCTGGCTCAGCCTGAGCCTCTGCCACCTTCTCCAGGGCCCTAGGAAAGGAAGGACTGGCCCTGGACGCCCAGACCATCTCCTGACCTCTGCCTGACATTGAGCCAGGGGCCCAGGGCTCTGGGATTTGGTATGATCTGGCTCAGCTGCCTAGGCTCCAAGATGCTCTATGCATTCCCTCCAGAGCCTCAACTAGAACATTTAGGAAAGCCTAGAGCCATGGAAGTTGGGCAGCCTCAGGGACAGTCCCCACAAGCGTCCCAAGTTGAGTGTGCTCAGCAGACTCGGCCTGACCTCTGAGCTGCTCCATCCAAACCACTGGCCAAGGGCTCAGACCCTCAGTGTGCCTCTCTTCCTGGGTTTATCGTGACAGGTCTGCTTGCCCTCAAGAAGCTCAGAGGGAAGTCCTACAGGTGAAGAGGTTAGGTGGAAACTCGAACCCTGAAGTCAGAGGCATCTGTGCTCCTAGATAGAGAGCCCAGAGTCTCCCACTTGCACTACTCAGGGTGTGCAGCCTTGTCACATACAGAGGGACTGTAGGACCTGAAGTTTTGTCCAGGAGGAGAGAAGACCCAGGGGACCACAGGCACTGCCTTCCAATCCCTGAGTGGCCCTAGCCACCATCACCCCCGAGGTGCACAGCCCACTATCACCTATGCCCAGAGATGGGAGCGCCCCCAGTGCTCACATCCCTGAGACATGGATCCCTGACCAACACTGACTCAGAGACACGTGCATCCCAACCGTCACCATCGCTGAGCTTCGGGCACCCCCAGTCATCACCTGCCCAGGGGCTGTATGCGCTCCCAACGCAGCTGACTCAAGTGCATCTCCCGACACACACACCTGATCGCGGAAGGGCAGGTTGGAGAACACGGGCAGGTTCTTGGCCCACTTGACAGCCATGAAGAGAAGGCGAGCTGATGTCTCATGGATGCTGTCCAGGCCACAGGGCGATGAGGAGGAGTATGGGGATGAGGGAAACTCCGGATCATCGCTGGTGACATCAATATTCTCGTCGGCTGTTGGAGGAGGAAGTGGTGACATCAGCCCCCAGTCTGGGGCCGGGGCAGGGGCTGCTCAGGGCCCCAGCCGGCCTCCCACTTACCATCCTCTGGCTCCAGCTTAGCACATGTTTCGGCTGTTATAAGGCTGGCCATGAAGTGGTGGTGCCCCGGCGGCGTGAGGGCCCCAGGCCCCAGGGCTCTGGCTGCAGAAACAGGCGTGGGGCCCCGTGGGCTGGGCCCCGCCGGGGCCAGGGGGGCCCCCAGGGCCTCCAGCCGGGGCTCCGGGTCTGACTCCACGCTGGCCAGTCGGAGCTGGGCCGTGCTCCGCGGCTGGCGCTCATTCTGCACAGCTGCGGAGGCAGGAAGGGTCAGGACACCCCCCCGGGCCTGGGCCCCCATCTCTAACGTCACTCGTCTCTGGGATGGGCCCCGACTCACCGTCCTGGTTCATGCCCTCCTGCAGGCACTTCTTCAGCCGGCAGGCCTGGCACTGGTTCCTGTGGGCCTTGTCCACCGGGCACATCCCCGCCCCCACCTGGCACCTGCAGGCCGAGGGCGCCCAGGGTGTCAGTGCCCCACCACCCAGGCCCTCGACCATGGGTTTGGGACATGCTTGGCCCAGTCCCTCCGCCCCTGAGAACGTCCTCCCCCAACACACCCCGCCCAGGGTCCCTCAGGGGCGGGAGAGGCAGGGCCGTCCCAGGCGGGCCCCCCTCACCGGTAGATGAGCCTCCGCCGCACGCTCCTCTTGAAGAAGCCGCTGCAGCCGTTGCAGGCGTAGATGCCATAGTGCTTCCCGCTGCTGCTGTCCCCGCACACGCGACACTGCAGCGAGGGGCCCGCGCCTGAGGGGGGCAGGGGCCCGGCTGGGTCTCACCCCTCCCTCCCACCGGCTCAGCGAGCCCTCCCCGCCATCCCCGGCCCCGCCCACAGTTAAAGCGCCAGTCCCTCTGGTCCAGACACCCCACCCCGCGCCCCTCCCCGGGCTAGCTCCGGCCTCCACCAGCCCGCCCCCCATTCCCTCTCTGCCGGTAGCTTCAGGCTCTGCCCTCCCACAGAAGCATCCGGGACCCCACCCCTGAGGGGCTCCGCGGCCACACCCGAAGGCTGTTTCTCTCTCCTTCGGGGTCCCATCCTGGCTCTGCCCACCCCCATGTTCCGAGGGTTCTGGGTTTGCCCGTCTGTTCCCTGACTCTTGCCCACAGCCCTTGGAGCTCCTTTCATGGTCCCTGCGACCCTCTGGTCCGCACTGCACTCCCCGAGGGCCCAGACCCCACCTCCAGGAAAGCCCTACCTGTGGGCTCCTCTCCCAGGCCCCACCTGCCCGGGGACTCCTTCCTGGGGGCAGCCACAGTCGCTGGCCCAGCTGTAGCCATGTTGGAGCTCATGCTCGGGCAGTGGGCCCGGTGCTAGTGCGTCCCAGGGCAGCCCGCACCTGCCTTGCTGAGGGAGGCGCCCTGAGTGGGCCCAGCCTTGGCCTCCCTCTTTTGACCGCTGTCCCGCTCTTGGTGCCCCTGTCTCCTGTTTCTACTTCTCTCCCTCCCTGGCCCCGGTGGTCTCCCTCACTCCCTCCCAAGTCTCTCCTCTTTGTCCTCCTGCCTCCTGTCTGTCTGTCTGTCTGTCTGAACTCAGAGCTGCCCCGACTTCCCCTCACCGCGGTGGCTCTGGCTCTAGGAGACTTCTCGCAGGGCAGGGCTGGACGCAGCTTATGATCCTCTTAATCTTTACTGTCTCCACAGGGGATCAACCAGCCACAGCGGCAGCGTCACCAAGGTGCCCCCGGAGCCCCCCCACACCCCCCGAGCTGCCCAGTGTCTCTGGTCTCTTCTGCCCTGTGCTCTCAGCGGGCTGGCCATCCAATGCCCAATCTTGAAGGGAGGTGTGGACTCCAGGTCCCCCAGGACTTTGAATCTCTTTGAGCTGCTGGGCATGTGTCTGGGAGCACAAGTTATGTCTGGGAGGTGTTGTGTGCATCCCCTGTGTGCGTGTGAGTCTCCACGTGTATAGTGTTCACGGGGGCTCCAGCTTTCCACCCTCATGGTTCCCACCTGAACCCTTGATAAGGAACCACTTAGGGCCCAGGACCCTCAAATCCTGGAAGGGGGCTCCCCACACATCCAGCACAGAGGTGGTGCCCATCACACAGGGGAATGGGTCCAGTGTAGGGTTTGAGGCTGGCCGGGAAGCAGGAAGGCCTGGGGCCCAAGGTGGACAGCCTCCTTCAGGTCTGTGAGGAGCGGAAGAGGAGCTGTAGGCTCCTGGGGAGCAGGGCCTGCAGGATGGGAGGGCGTGAGGACCCAGCCCCTGAGCCTGGCTCCAGGCTCTCGGGTGGCCTCCCCTCCTTTCCCCCACTCGGCCTCACCGTCCCTGGCAGGCCGGCCTCTCTGCTGTCCCCAGACGCCGTCCTCCCAGCTCAAGCCCAGTGTGGTTGTGAGGTGAGGAGGCCAAAGGAGGAGTCTGGGCCTCCGCTGGACCAAGCCCCGGCTCCAGAGGGAGTGTGGAGAGAGCCCAGACAGAGCCAAGTTTAAATCCCTGCCCCCGCTCAGGCCAGTCACACGGCCCAGCCCTGAGCCAGTGATTTAGCCTTTCTGAGCTTCAGTTTCCGTGTCTGTGAAAAGGGGTATCAAAAATTTCAGTGCCCAGTACGCAGAGCATAATACGTGGTGGGGGCTGTTATTATGATGATTTCTCTGAGGAAGTCACAGAGCAAGCCTCAGGAAACTGCCTTTCCTTTCCCTGCTCCTCTGCCCCCACCCTCACTCTCACCCCCTGCCCAGGACAGAGCCGGGTTGGTCTAGAGGCCACCACCCATCCTCAGCAGACCTGCTCACCTCTGGGGGTCGGGGGGCAGCGCCTGGCTCAGGCTTAGAGCCCAAGGGGGAGGGGGACAGTGAGAAGTTTCTGGAAGGATCATGGAGTGAAGGGGACAGAGGAGGAGGGGCGAGGCCTTTATGTAAGTGGGGTTAACCCTCATTGTGACAGGGAAGCACTACTGGGGATTTGGGAAGTCAGCTCGAGGGGCTTTGTGGGGTAATCCGCTTTCTGGGGCCTCAGAAGATCGAGGCCACCAGGCGGAGGCTCCATACCTGACCTCCCCTGCCTCTGCGCTCACCTGCACCCCTCCAGACAGGCAGCCCTCAGGGCCCTCTACTGGACATTCTCTAGCTCCATCTAACCTCCACAGCTCAGGGCATCTCCCTTGAACTTGATGCACGTGGTCCCTCCTTCCCAAAGCTTGTCTCTCCTACTTCTGGAGCATGTCTTTGCCATCTTCTTCCCCACTCTGAATGGTCATCACCTCAGGGTGCCCCAGAGCGGGCCCCATAGGATCTTTTCAGCTCTCCTTGGGGGATCTTGCACACACGCCTGGCTTCCGTGAGCCCTTGACCCCTGCCTGGGTCTGGGCCGGAGCTTCCACCCACAGACCCACCCAGAGTTCAGGTGTGGAGACCGACTCCACATGCCTCAACCAGCCCGTCCCCAGCTTGTCCATGGAGATGGTCACTGAAGCCCCCGGAATGAGGGGCCACCCCGAGCATACGTGTGCGTGCAGGGAGGAAAGCGCCCAGGGCTGAGCTGAGGGCCTCGGACCCTGGAGGTCTGGGCCAAGGAAGGGCCGCTGGGAAAATCAGGACAGCGTGGGTCCTGGGAGCAAGGGAGGGGGAGGATTCGAGGATGGAGCCATCGTCCCAGGTCAAGTGTCCTCCCACGTCTTTGCATCACCAACAGTAAGAAGGAAAAAGCAAGTGCAAATACTCCCAACATCATACCCAAACCTCACAGCAAACCTCAACCCCCAGGTGAGGAAACAGAGTCTCAGAGAGGTTAAGCAAATCGCTTCAGGCCACAAAGCTGCGGAGAAGGAGAGGAGCCTGGGGGTGGAGTCAGGAGTTTCAGCCTCCTGCTTTCCCCCATGGCGCTCTTCAAGGAAGACGGAGCACCTCTTTGGCTTTAGCAGCAGAAGGTAACTGGTGCCCACGGCGAGCAAGCGCGTTGTTCCCGAGGAGAAGGGGAGCATGCCGCCCTGGGGGGCAGGAAGAAACTCCAGGGCCGGGTCTTGTCCCCAGGGTTGGACCTCAGTCCAGGTCACCTCTCTCTCCTCAGCCAATGGAAGGTTCCAGGGACTGGGTTCAGAGTTTCAGGTCAGCTGGGCGTGTGGATGACAAGGCACTTAGAGCACAGTAGCTCATTTTTAACTTGTCTTTTTTTCCCTGATATTCTGTAGTGGCTATGTGGTACTTAGAATGGCAAAAAATAAATCCATCAGAATAAAAGACACTAGCCGTGTTTGACGTGCCCGTTCTTACGCTGTTTGGACTTTATTACGTTGACCTTTCACGGGGGTCAGCCCGGCTCCTCTCTCACCCTGACCCTCTGTTCTTGGGCAAGTCAGGCCCAGCCAGAGCCTGTATGGTGCTGGATGACAGCCCAGCGGGGCTGGGGGCAGGGGCTCTCTCCCGATCTGTGACCACCAGCTGCTGGGGCAGACGCCAAAGGATTACGCAGCCCAAAGCCTTGAATCTGCTGACGAAGCTGCCAGAGGTCACCTTGTCACTAATACAGTTATTCCCCCAGGGGACAGGTCAGCAACTTCCCTGACTCCCTGGAGGCCTGGGGCAGGCAGGGCAGACGGGGAGGGGATGGATGAAAAAGCCTGCAGAACTAGACCTCCCTCTGGCAGGTAAAGCCCCCTGCCCCCGATGGTCTGGGGCCTGTCATATACTGGGTCACTGGGTCCCAGGCCTGAGAGTTGACCTGGGTATTGTCAGAGGGAGGAGGAATGGTTCTGGGATGAGGTCAGGCTGGCTGGGCTGAACACCACGGTTCCAGGAGCCTTGGGCTTCCGGTTTGGGACAAGCGTCAGTCGTGGCATTTGGTCCTGGGAACATATTTTCTGGGGCTTCTTAAAAATGCTCTTTATTGGGCGCCTGGGTGGCACAGTCGGTTGAGCATCTGCCTTCGGCTCGGGTCATGATCCCAGGGTCCTGGGATCAAGCCTCGCATCGGGCTCCCCACTCAGCGGGGAGCCTGCTTCTCCCTCTGCCTCTGCAGGCCAGTCTGCCTACTTGTGCTCTATGTTTCTGTCAAAAAAAAAAAAAAAAAAAGCTCTTTATTCCCCACCCCTGGATCTTTGTGATCTTGGAGAAGGAGACCAGGATACCAATCCCACTTCCAGGAACCTATCCCATGGAAAATTTCACCAAGATTTAATTATAGGGCTGGTCCCTGCAGCAATTTTAGTAAAACACCCACCTGTAGACAGCAGGCTACCCCCAGTATGCTCCATCCCGACAGTGGCATGCTGGATAGCCATGGCACATGGTTGCATTTCTATATTCATTTACATGGAAATATGCCCACAGTGTTTCCACTCGAAAGCTGGCTACAAAGCAGCATGCCTGATTTCATGTGTCTCAAGGGAATTGCTGGCCCAAGATCACGGGACTCCTTTCTTCCTGGTAGGACCTAAAGTCATCAGTAGTTTCTTTCTCTAGAGCAGTGTGTGGAAGGTTCAGGACTCCCAGAGGCAGATAACAGCAGGAAAGTTTCTCAACAAAGCCTCTTTCTTTTCTTTTCAAGATAACATTTAGAAATAATCAGATATTCTCCTGCAGTTTCCCCAGCCCTTGGCTTCTGAAGTCCTTCCCCCAGAATCGTTTTAAAGGTCTGAGCAGAACTTGAGAGGCTCCTTCTTCCATCCTAGGGGAGCAGATAAAAGACAGTCTGTCCAGAACCCCTGCATCTGATCTGCAGCCCCACGCTGGGGGTGACCCCCTTCCTCCTTTGTCCCGGATGACTGGCAGTGAAGGGTATCTGTTTAACTTCTTTCCCCTCTGTGCTCCCAGAGGTGGGCTTCTCCCATGTCTAGCCGAGCTATTATTAAGATAGCACAAGCAGAAATTCTCACCCCAAACAGGAAGGTTGCTGTTGTGCTTGGACGTTTAATAATCAACATGTATTACAAGTATAAGCAGGATAAAATAAAGCTCTTTTCATTAAAAAAAAAAAAGAATGGCTAATTTGAAATAAATGTTACTACTACGACTATTAACAATAATAGGAAATATTTATGAAGAAATTGTTAAACATTTCTATGTGTGAGAATGAGAAGTTTCTCCTGCCTTCGATTTCGCTCCCTCATTACCTGAGGGGAGGGCTAGAATCTCAACAGAACAGGGCGTCAGGCCTGAGCCCTGCCTCATCCGAGCTCTTGCGGCACACTGCAGCCTGGTCTTGGAGGCGCCCCTTCTCTGTCTACACCAGCTCTAGACCCTTCCACGCTGTGCTGGGGCCGCACTGGAGGCTGGGGGAGGGCCCAGGCAGGGGGCCCCCGGTTGTGGGAAGCTCTTTGAAAACCAGTACAGAAGTATTTTAAAGTTTAACAACG